TGTAGCAATCCGCTGCGGTGAGCAGAGCCCCAGAGACACCTCAGACTGCAAAGCAGACTGTGTCGGAGGAACCGGGCGGTGAGCCATCAGCTCCCCTTTCTTCCTGACCGGCAAACTGAGGCTGGAAGGTTCCAGTCTTTCGTGGGCTGAAGCACTCCAAGGTAAGTCTGAACATTTGCAGGAAAGGCGGGAGAAATCTAAGAACCAGCCGCCGCTGCCGCCGCGACTGGCACCAGGTAAGCATAGGCAGACCGACCCAGAGCCCTCCACGTTCACCCTCAGCTCGGACTGCCCACACAAAGGAAGGGTTCAGGGCCATGGCAGCCCTAAGTCCACTGGGCGCTTGCAGTTCCAGGGGCCTCAGCCTGATTTGGGGGATAAATTTCTCCCAGAGATTACCTGGGTGCGTAAAATCCCTAATTCTCAAAAGCTCGGGGAGAGTCCCTAGAAATTCCCTCCTGTTTTGTCTGTTCATGGCCAGCAGCAATCATGGCACTCCTGAAAAGTCAGGATATCTGTCCCCAAAACCTCTGGAGAGCCCTCTCTCCCATTCCCTACATCTCACCTGTGCTCTGCTAGAGTCCCGCGGCGGCTTCTGGCTGTTTTCGCTGCCCCCTCCCCAAGCTTTCACATCAAAAAAATGTATTTTTCACCGGAGTCCACACAAACTATTAGCTTGACCCACCACTCTGGTCTTGGAAAGCCAGTGGCCAGCTCATGAGCTGCAGTTTCCACACTCTCTAATCCCTTCCCACACTCTGGTCTCCCCAGCCCCTTCCCCATCTTGCTCTCCAATGCCTGTGTAGACTGGAAAGGACTCGCGTTTGAGAGCTAATACTCCTTTCACAGGACCCCCTCCCCCACCTGAATCATTAGCTTGCTAATTGGGGAGGGGGATCTAGCCTAAGATGGATGTGAATCTGTCATCTTTCCTTTTGCCCGCGGAAAAGATCAAATATAGGTAAATTAGAACTCCCTCCGTCTAGTTCTCTCCCGGGTGCTGCAGGAGGTTGAGGGGGGTGAGGGGGCGGGAGCCTGCCGCCCTGACCCTCGCTACAGAAGAGGACAGAAGAGGTCTTATGGTGACGTGGTTTCTTAAAGCCGCGCCCTCCTGAAATTTGGGGAAGGGGCTTAGAATAAGAGGATGTATTCCTCTCCATTGCCCCCTTCTGCTTGTTTTGCTAAAGAAAAGTCTTACAGCGGGGAAGCAGAAAGCAAAACTAGGTGAACTGAAGTTCTTGAGCCCCAACTTCACCTGAGGATTTGGGAAAATGCCAGAAACGATGCAGCGCTCCCTCCCCCTCACCCAGACTCTGCAGTAACGCAGCAGCATTAGGCAGAGATTCAGACCTTTACCGCCCCAGGCCCTATGACATGCCCCTCTAAGACAGTCTTGCTCTGATGAGTCACATGCCTGTGGCTCCCAGCCCTGGGGGGAAATTCGGGAAGGGGCCATGGTCAAGAGAGGAGGGTGCCCCTCCAAGCTATTTTTCCTATTCTACCCTGTGTGCTAGTGAAGGGGTCCCAACTCCAACCTCATTCCCACTCCTGCCTCCACTTGGAAATTTGAAAAGGTGTCATAGCTGGATATTTGAGTTGCACTCCTTTATCTTCACCTCAGCTACTGAAGGAGTTTTGCCTTTTCAGTGACATACAGGGCTCCTCTATTGGAGAGACGGGGCCAGAGCTGTAAATGGAACACTGGTGTGAGCCTCCTAACCCCCCTCTCCCATCCAGATTAGATGGAGGAAACAGCCTTCCCTGGAGCAGATAAAAAGAAATTAAGCTCAATTCTTGGTTCTAGAGGGCAACAATGTCCACCCACCCCTCAACCACACAGACTCTTTTGTGTTTGGGGCAGCTATTGTAGGGTGTTTCACTCAGGAAATGGTTTGCATTTTGAAACCTAAAGGAGGGGTAGTCCTAATGGTTTAGTCTAAAATGGAAAACGGTGATTCCATTGTCCTTGAGAAATCTCAGCCCAAGAAGCTGATCACCCTCATTTACCCCATACCATCTTTATTTGGCCAGAGGGGACAGGGAGAGATGAGAAGAAGGAAAATCTGTAACTCTCTCTCCCCAATATATCCAACATAAATTCCACCATAATAATTTGCAGTATGCAAACATAAACCAGACACAGGCGACAAAACACACTACAGGAGCATGTACAACAGAGAAACTCAGAAGGTAAACATCCAACATGCAAGTATACCACACACAACACACATCACACATCTGCTGTGTAGAAGATAAATATACAACATCCAACTCCACATCATGCAAACATACAACTGTGCTCCACACAGGTTCACACAAGAAATACAACACAACTTTCAAACACGAATAATACACAACAGCCATACTACAAATGTATACACAGAAATCCCATGAACACGCATCACACAAACAATCCACATAGATACACAAAAAATATTCCCTTTGTTCTCTTTCAACATGAACTTACAGGTTTAAAAACAAAAACAAAAAGCAGGTAACCAGTAGAGGGAGAACTGGGATTTTCTACCATGGAGGAGTTGGTTACAATGAATGGGGGGAACGGGGGATATCAAGAAAGAAAAATAATAAAATTATAATAAAGCCTTTTTGAGTAGTATATGTTTTCCTGCATTCCGCTGTCATGCAAGTTTAATCCTCACCACCAGCTTGTGAAGTATATGTCCATATCTATTGGACGGTTGGGGAAACCAAGGCACGGAAAAAATCTTAATGTATTTTTAAAATTTTTAGTTGACACAGTGCTTGTACATTTTTATGGGTATAATATGACAATTGATATTTGTATACAATGTGTAATTATCAGACCAGGCTAATTGGCATATATGTCACACGTGAAATTTACTATTTCCTTGTGTTGGGAACATTCAAGATCCTTTCTACTGTTTTGGAATATGTAACTATTTCTTGTCAGTCATAATTACCCTACTGAAGGTATAGAAAATTTTTTTGTCCAAAGTCACTGCAAGTTAATGACAGAACAGGGAGATTAGGTAGGAATGAAAAACAAAGGTCTTTTATTTCTATGTCTACAATACTCAGAAAACACTACACTAGCAGTTGAATACAAACATACACATTACTTACCTCATCCTTTATTAACTAGCAAAGTTAGAAACTAAAAACTAGTCACCTATTTAGACACCTGTTTGTTCTGCTTTGATCTTTTAATTCATGTCTCCCAGCACAAGGAAGAGCAGCCCAGAACTGCAATTTAGTTTCATAAGACAAAATAGAAAGGTCCCATGTCCCTCATCCTACTCCAGGACAGTCAGGATGACCTGGCAAGAATCCACAATTACCTCCTGCTATCCCCTGATAACCCAACTCTGATTAGAGATCAATTAATGCCATCTGTATTCAAAAGTAGTGGCCCCTTTAGGGCAGACTTGGGGCATGGTTTGATGAACAATATCATGGTGAGAATCCAGACTTGTGTGACTGTCAGTCTACATCAAAATTTAGACCTGATTCTACTCTCTTTCAATATTCCTCTGACTATTTCAGCTCTTACTGATGGATTTCATTTCTCACCACCTAGAACACTGAAATCATATCCATTTTACACTGTATTAGTTTTCTAATGTGACTCTTTCTCTAATTATTTGGTTTTAGGCTTATCTCTTATTTGTCAGAAAATCATTTCTTTTGTCATCTTCCAAGGTAGCTGGCCTGAGTATTAGGGGTTTCTGGTCAAGCTTGCTGATGGGTTGGTTAATTCATTGTAAACCTATATAGATAAATTATGCTGGAATGAAATAAGTCATACCTCAAAACAATCACAACTCACTGGGACTAAGCCTGTATTGGAAAGGGGTGGGTACTAAGATCTTTTTAATACAAGAGCCTTAGAAGTGAATTAATGCATACTTCTTCCCATTTAAACGATTTAAAATAATGATGGTAGTATTCACTGGGACTGTATGTACAAACTGGTTGCTACCTTGTTACAGTAGTGATTGTGTGGGTGTCATTCACATTTACTAATGAGGGCTTGTCACTGGTTCTACTATAGCAGGAAAGAAATCATTTTAAGTTTTTATACAGATGCACCTTTCTGTAAAAATCCAGTTTTTTTCTAAGTGGAACTAAGAAAAATGGGACCAAATTAAATTAAAAGGGTGATTATTTGCTTTTAGAAATGATTTACTACAGGGTTCCTTTAAGCAATTCTCTAGTCACTGCTAATTGAAGATTAGTCAGAAATAATGATAAAATATCTCAGAGATGAAAATGTAAGTAAAGAGCATTCAAAATTTTTAAGTGTGTGGTGCACCAAGAATCTTAATGTACTTTACCAGTGTATCATATTTAACAAGGTACTCCACTCCTTTCCTACTCTACAACCCTGATGTCAAGATGGAAAGCAGAAGCCTAGGGAGATTATAGGGTCTCCAGTCTTGAGTTTGCACTATAGATAGCAGCTCTTTTCTGACTCAAAATGATGGAAAAACTTCACACTCAGTCAGATTTGAGCCTGTAAAGGTATTATGAAAGACATCCTTTAGTTTCTTTAAACCTATCTGAGATGGAAGCCTTGGCTAAGGTACCATGGCTACCATTTGCCTCCTACAACGAGAGTTGGGAATACATCACGTAAATTTCTAATATGCTTGTTAGATATTACTTGCAAATGGCTGGAAAGAAGTTCATACTTAATAAAGGAGATGAGGAAGAGGGAAGAATAATCACATGGGTAAATGATTGCCCTCATTGGCCCCACAGGATTCCATCATCCTGGTGCGTGTGAGCTGATCAGCAGGACTCCTGTCTTCTCTTGTAGGAGAGTGGACCTGGTTCCTGGCTCCTCAGGATTCCACTTTATAAACAAGCTTTGAAAAGCTGAAGCAGTGAAGTCTGTGATTCTTCAAATCTAAGGTGGATTCAGGAGTTTCTGTCAGGCTTTGGTGAAGGACTTTCATCATCTAATTGATTCCTTTATAGTTTCTTGGGGCCTGTTTAATCTGTTACCCTAAGCCAAAATGAACAATTCCTTTAATGGCACATCATCTTTTCTGCTACAAGTGAAAAATACTGTTGATTGGCTCCAACAAAATGTCACTTGTGTTCCATCAACCGAAGATCAAAACTGGAATCACACAATTCTGAATGGATCCAGTGTCCCCAGTCCAGAATGGGAAGGGCCAACAGAAACAAGCAGGAAATGGCTGGTGGGCAAACCTCACATCGCAGCTAAGATAGTGCTGTGTTTTGCATATGCAGTCATCATAATGGTATCGCTCTTCGGCAACTCACTGGTGTGCCAAGTTTTTATCAAGCATAAAGAAATCAACAAATCAACTGGCCTTCTCATTTTCAATCTGGCGATATCTGACATATTGATAATTCTGCTCAACAGTCCATTTGCTCTGGTAAGTCAGTATATAAGACTGGTTCCAGCACATAAGAAAGAGGCTGTTCCAATCCAGGATGGGTGATGGGACTAACAGCAAGAAGGGACATAAGCCTGCTTTAGGCACGCCACTGGAAAACCTGTCTTATCTGCAAGGCTTGAGGTGATTACTTGAGTGATTAGCCAATCCTCCCATTGCTTTCTTTCCCAGGCCCGATTCCTGAGTGGACAGTGGCTTTTTGGCAGGATCATGTGTCACATCAGTCGATTTGCTCAGTACTGCTCCCTCCACGTCTCGACTTTAACACTGATGGCAGTTGCCATGGACCGACACCGGGTAAGAACTCTGGAGGGCGCTTTGAATAAAAGGGCAGTGAATGGGCAGGGCCCAAGGAGATTATACACCTCCCAAAACTATTCAGGAGAGTGCCATCTTTGAGGATAAGAGTATGTTTGTGGAATGGCATACATTTCCTCCTCCTCTTGCAGCTGGGCACCTTTTAGAGTTCCACTATTTCCAGAGCCATAAATCTTTTTATGTGTAAACTGTTTTCAGTCCAGTTGTGTTCATGCTGGAATAAGGTACATTGTATTAATAGTCCAGGTAAGTTATATAATCCAAGTAAGGACTCTTCAGTTAGTGTTTGCCCATACAAATGACACAGACCTGAACTGATGTCAGGAAGGGTGTTGTTTCTCTTTTCCAGGTAATTCTGCACCCAATGAAACCAAGGCCAACACATTCCCAAAGCTTATTTGCTGTCGCCATGATCTGGAGTCTTGCTGTGCTTCTTGCTCTTCCACATGCAATTTATCAAAATCTGTTCTATTTCGTCAGCACGTAAGTCAGATGAGTTACATAATAAATAATTTACTTTTCTCTTTCCAGGAACTCTGAGGAAGTTGACATTTGAAAAGCCCTTGACTGCATTCTTGTCCCCTTCCAACTTTCCTCAATAAAGGACATGGATCCTCATTCTAACTCTATCCTGTATTAATGGAACCAAGATGTTTGGTCACCAGGTTAGGAACACTGGTGATTAGGAATCTGGTATGCCTGAGTTTGACCTCTGCCTGGAGCAGACCAATAAAAGAGAATACTATGGTTCCATTCCTTAATGTTAAAATTGAAGAAACTAAAACCTAAAGATTAGAGGGGGTGGGATTTGCTTAAGGACATACCGTGGCAAAGACAAGATTATAATTCAAGCCTCCTGAGATTCACTCAACTGGTCTTGTCATAACTTCCATTCTCTTCTGCTCCAGGGATGGAATTGTCAGGAGTCACTGTCTTCCTGCCTTTCCTGGACCCAGCAAGCTGGTTGGGAAGTATGTAGACCTCGGAACATTTATCTTACTGTATATCCTGCCACTTCTGGTGATTGTTATAACATATTCTCACCTAGGGAAGAGGTTGTGGATACAGAATGCTGTTAGTGATGCATCTGTTCATCAACTTATGGCACACTATCATAAGCGAAAGAAGAGTATCCGAATGCTGATTCTTATTGTAATGGTCTTTGCAGTATGTTGGTTTCCGCTCAATTGCTATGTCGTTCTTATTTCTAGTGCAGATACAGAAGCAGAGAGTGTGCTTTTCTATGCTTTCCACTGGTTTGCCATGAGCAGTACCTGCTACAATCCTTTCATCTACTGCTGGCTTAACAGGAGCTTCCGTGACAAACTCAGATCTATACCATCCTGGTGCACGAAATTTGTGTTTGTGTGCAGAAGCTCCCAAGTTCAGCAAATGCAGATGCATGTGCAGGAAAGTCATGAGCTCCAGGAACTCCAGACATCTTCACTGCTACAGGTACCTCTGGCCATTCCAGAACACCAGGTATTTGAGGATCCCAGTTTGGCTACAGGGGAGGAGCATTCCCAGATCTCTGTCCATGGGGAATGGGGAGATCCAGATCCCTCCCTTGATGAAGAGGAGGAGTCTCCAACCCAGGATGCTTATTTATCTATCCATATGGAGCATGACAGTTCCTAAGTTGGGCACCCATACAGAACATCGCCTCCTTGGAATTTTGTTCAAATGAGTATCTGAGCACATGCCTGGTGGCATTCTAACTGAGAGTATCCGTGTGGCCCCAGTCATGACCATTACATCTTCCTCCCAGGGAAATTTGGCTTACCCCTTTAGCCCAGATCAGATATTCATAATTAAAATGGTAAGAACAAATCATCCAGAGAGGGTATAATCTTTAAACCACATATAGAGACCCAATGTTTTGCTTTCAAAAATACCTTCACAGGTACATTCCTAGGTCGTTTTTGTGGTTGATGATTCTGAGTCCTATAATAGGGGTAGGTGGTCACACTATACCTGATGAAGCCACTGTGCCACTACAGGGACAACTGGCACCTCTAGACATCCTACGAAAGTCTGTTGACTCATCCACCTTGCTTTAGAGATGGGAGGGGTCAGAACAAGATTCCCTGATTAGCACTGATTTTGACTCCAGTTTTGGTCTGTGATTGCCATTAGTAATTGGTGATAGTTAGATGAAGGAATTAAGAGTGAAAGAGGTCATGAGCAAAGCATCACAGGAAAGACTAATAGATTTTCTCTTCAATAGTAGTAACACATCCTTTTTTTTTCACTGCACCCTTGAGCACCAGCGTGGTACTCTCATATATTTACTTTCTGCCTCAATTTAACCTGAGGCAAAAAGTCATCTTAAGGAACAAGGAACACTGGTGAATGACCCTGGACTATGCTTATCATCTTTTCATGGACTTTCTTAATCTGGAGGAACCCACTGATATTTGCATTTAACTAGGGTATGCTTGCATATTTGGTCTCTGGTGGTTCTTTCCCATCTGAAACTGCATTCTAGTTGGCTACTATACTGGTTCACAGTCATGCTTTCTCCCAATATTTGATTGACAATTATATCAACCTCTCAATCTCAACTTCTCCCCATCAACTAAATTGTTGCATCCTAAATTGGAAAGAAGACACAATCAAGTGTCTCAGATTGTGGCAATTTTTTTGCCCCAGGAATCAGGGTTTCTTTACTGCTGGTGCTTCACTTCCTCTCCCCCTCACTTTACTTTTTTTGATGTGTATTTGCATGTGATTATTCTATAGATCCATAATCTGAATTCTTGTCCTCTTCTGTGCTAAGTCTCTTCCTGTGCTAACTCTAGACTTCTACTCCAACTATCTCAAGTTATCTACAATGGTTCTAATTTCTCTCTTTCTTACATACCCTCTTCAACTCAACTCCCTTCAATTCATGCCTTGTCACACCTTTTGGGAACTTTGCCAGTTTCATTCCTCATTTCATACCTCTTCTGTGATACACACCCCAGAGTTGCCATATACACACATTCAAAAGTACCCTTGTAAGGTACAAAACTGCTTCTCTCTCCTTTCAACATTTCACCCAGGTGCTCTCTTTTCCGTATTTGTTTGCTCTGGGCTACTTAAACTTAGGTTTTGGTTGCTGCCTTAACCAGAGGTTCACAACCTTTTGGGTTGAGGCTCATCATCATCTCAGTAATTAAGGTGTCCCCATTTCCGGTGCTTTGTTCCACTGTAGGTTCTAGCTCTTTCCTCCTGTGTGTTCTTTAAACTCCTTTTTCCTGTCTCCTTTCTCTCTCTCTCTCTCTTTCTCTCTCTCTTTTTCTCTCTCTCTCCTCTTCTCTCTGCCTACCTCCCCCCCCCCCGCACACAATGCTTTCTGCTTATCTCCTCAATGTTGACTCCCTCTTTAATGTTGAGCTACAACTAATATTACTTCAATATTCCTGTTCTTTATTTTGCCCTGTACATAGGCCACTTTCTTTCAGCCTCTGCTACTCACGTGAATGAACTCATGTGCACGCATGTACCCAATTACATATCTGAACATTTCTTTTACAGTTTGTGCCACCAATTTTGGATATTTCTCTTGCCTCTGAAGCAGAACAAGGATGACTAGCAAAACTAGGAGACATTGAGGACTCCTTGAGGAACATGTGGCCTTCTATAAGCTGGGGAGTGTCAGAGGGTCCATGAGGGGACACAACTTGAACCTTCAAGAGAGTCTGTCTTTATGACATAGCTGACAAGGATAAAGAATAATGTTTTGGTTTCAAACATCTAGTTTGTGAGAGATATTTCCTTCTTACCCTTTAGAAGAATAAATATCCTTTATATAGGCTTAGAACATCCATCAGAGGGCACCATGCACAAGGATATTGAGAAGAGTCTGGTGGTTTCCTTGAGATCTCAGCATTCCTTTATCTGGTTATTCTTTCTAGCTGAACTATTTGCTTATGTTTGCTTATAGATTAGTTACACTTCACTATCTGCTTATAGATGTAGGTAATAAACTATGGTCACAGTGAAGTCAAAGCTGTGAACTGATTTTAGTTTACTTTACACAGAGGACAACTTTATTCATGGCCACAAACTTTACCCCAGATATGGAAATTTTGGCGACCTAATCTACTTCAGCAGAGATTATATGGCCTAATGTAACCCATTCCTCCAATGGAAAGAAACCTGGTCCATATCCAATTCATATAGAAAAACCATCTGTGCAAGTAAAAGACAGCATTTCCATGGTTTAGATGCAGGGGTAGGATAGTGTGTATAATGGAATCAAGTCTAGGACTCAGAGTAATGGGACCAGGCTTTTTTTTCCTGACTCAACTATTTGTCTGACCTTGGGCAAGTCACTTGACCTTGGTGTGCCTCAGTTTCCTCATCTGTAAAATGGGGATAATAATACCTACCAACTTATAGGGCTATTGTGAGAGTTATCTGTGAAAACAGATGACACATTTGGAAGCATTTTAACATATGCTTTCTCAAATGCAAGGTATTATTATTGTTAATAGTTTTATTGTTATTCATCTTGTGACTATTGATATTACTATTACTACTCTGATTATGACTACTATATCCTTAATTGTTAATACTGATGTTCCTATGCTCCTTTCCAAAAGCTGACCTTTAGACATTATAGAAAGCAGTGATAAATTTTAAGAAGAGACTGCTCAAGGTATCTCACTGGGAGAAAAAAAAAACAAGCTTTCACTGCCTGATTAGATGGTTGAAGACAAAACAATTGCAGACTTAGAAAGCCAGCTTGGACAGGGGAATACTGCCAGGGTGAGGAAGAGTTACAGAGTAGGTACAGAAAAACTAGCTGAATGGTGGATTTATAACAATTATACAAAAGAAGCATAGGCCTCGTTATGGGCAAATGTGAATTGTTGACTTACCTGCTCCAGTAGGTTCAAGTATGTGAGTTCTCTTCTCAGGCAGGTATTAGACAGGAAATCAAAGGAGGAAACTTAAGAGGTTAGTTGGTAACAAAGTACAAAGATAGTACAGGATCACTATTGTGAACCCTCATCTCTTTTCTAAGAACTCCATTTACCTATGATAAAATTTAGTTCTCTGCAATTGTACTACATATTCATATTTATTAATGCTTTCAATATAATAGTAAAATATTAAGTATAACAGTACTAACTTACGGTGCTCTTCTAAAGTGTGCTTAAAGTGTTTTATGGTGTTACATTTAACTGTTTATCTGCCAAAATAGCTCACAAAGAAACAACAAAAAACACAGAAAAAAAATCCTCTATAATGTCCCCAAAGTGTTATTTATGTATGCCTATTTATATGGAACCTTGAGAAACCCCAAAAGAATGAACTGATGTTGGACTTTGGGACAGTATGCTACCCTTGAATTTGTGCCTGCTGGAAAGCCCTCACCTGGACACAGAGACTGCTTTTGAGATAATGTTCTGCCTGGCAACCAACAAATGTGAAATGTGAAATTCTGGAGCTCCAAGCCCAAATTCTACTCTGGAGATCTCTCCAGAGGCTCTGTTCACAGGGGAGCAGATGAATTCATTGGAGTAAACTGACTATGATAATTATCCTGTGTAGGTTGCTTTTTATATGTAAGTGTATCATGCCTGCAGTAACTTTTCAAGTGCTTCAAATTGTATCCCTTTGTGAATCCTTTGTGACTGTGTACATGCTCAATTAAAAATAAATAAAGCTTGGCTTGGTGGAAATCCCTTTCAAGCTAAAGCTGATGTAAGTGATTTCTTCTATCAGTGCAGACCCCCTCCCTTGTGCTATCCCAAGCCACAAAAAAGCAACTCAGTAGGCTGACACAGGATATATAGATTTTAGAAGAAACAGCTTGTGAATGAGACTTGATTATGCAGAATCTCTGACTGGCATGTTCAGCTCTATTCTACTGAAAGAAATGTGGAGAATGAAAAGTGCCCTGGAGGCTGGGGGTTTCTCTAAGCATCAGGCTTAGCAGAGGGTGAGGTCCCAAGAGGTGAGAAGGGGAGTACAGAATGTGGAGGAGGAAATGGGCAGGACAAAGTAGCACAGCAGTTACAGATAGTCAGTGTGGTTATGAACCTTTTTTGGAAACATTCATTCTTTGCTAGGGAGAGAACATGCGGTAGTGAAAATCAGAGGAAGGTTTATTGGTAAATAGGATAGAAAGGGATGGTGACCTATAATGCAGAGAGTGAAAGCTGGTCAAAATTTGAGCATGCTGCCTCTCAAACTTGAGTCCATTCACACAGGGGTATTATGCAATATATTTAGCCAACTAGAATGGCTTGGTTACTAACCAATCAGTATAGTCATCGTGGGCTGTGAGAGCTGATGCAGGGTCCTAGAAAACCTAGATGGTGTCAACAAATCAGTTGCTACTTTGTGAGAAAATGGGGATAATTCAGGAGGTGGGGCTGGAGCTGGCTTTGGGAAACTCAGGGGTATACAGATGGAATCATATTTACTGAATCAGCAAGGAAGCATTTTAGTATTTTAAAAACTGGTATCAGACCAACACAAACAACTATCATCTTTGTCCACATAGAAGTAATATTTTCCATGCAGACCAATGTTTCTCTCAGAGAGTTCCCATATGACAGTATCTTTGAGACTAGTTCCCGTTTCTATGATGCAATACTTGAGAAAATCACCTTAATAAGAAAGTTTAGTTCAAACCCTGG